TTTGCCCATATTATTATGTCGTCCGAGATGTTCCTTACACCGTCGAGACCTTCTAGTGCCGTGCATAAAGCATTTTGAAATATTTCAGCTGCACTATTAATGCCGAAACTAAGGCGTTTGTATCTCCTTAATCCAACATGTGTGGTGAATGTCGTAATGTTACGGGATTCTTCTGATAGTTCCAACTGATGATATCCATGGTTTAGATCTAGTTTGGAGAAGACCCTGGCACCACTTAAGTCCACAATCATATCATCTATCGTCGGAATTACATGTCTTGTGCGCTTTATGGCTTGATTAGGTAGCCTCATGTCGACACAGATCCTTATTTGGTTATTGTTACTTTTCGGCTTTGGTGTAACAACAATTGGTGATACCCAATCTGTGGGACCCTCGACTTTCTCAATTATATCCAAGTCTTCAAGCCTCTGGAGCTCTTTCTCTACTTGCTTTCTTAAATGAAATGGTATGCGTCTGTGTGGCTGAGTAACAGGTTGAACATTGCTATCTATGTATAGTTTGACTTTAGTTCCCTTCATTTTCCCCATGCCTGTAAACACTGATTGGTACTTCTTGCAGAGTTCATCCACATTGCTATGTGTGACTGCGTTTATTACTGGAATGATGTCAAGGTCAACGGATGTTTGATATGATAGAAGATTTCCACTATTGCCTTTCGTCACATATACTGGAGCTGATGTTATTTTGCTTTTAGATTCAATTTGTGCCTGAAATTTGCCTAATAATGTCACTTTACTAGAGCGATATGCATATACCTTGGTATGAGCTTTCTTCAGACGAACATTATTATGTAGTTTTGAGTAAGTTCTTTCATCTATCACATTTATTGATGATCCGGTGTCTACAAGTGCTTTGATTTTGCAGCCATTGATATAGACTTTTAAATTTGGTCTCTGCAATTGCATGGAATTTGCAGTAAGTCCATATATTTTGTTTGCATCATCCTCTCTGTCTTTTGTCACTATCACTTTCACTTTGTGAAGTATCATTAAGTTTTGTTTGTGAAATTATTTGTCCCGTTTTCTTTGACAAGCATACTGCTTCAAAATGATTTTTCTTCGAGCAAAATGTACATGTTTTTCCACTGGCTGGGCATTTTCCTGATTTGTGTGGATATTCATAGCCACAGTATCTGAATATTGATTCCTTAATGATGTGTCTGCGTCTTTCTTTTTGCGCCTTTTGATTTTGTCTTTTGTCGTGATTTCATAGCATTAACGACGTCATATTTTGCTTGACCTTCATTTCAGATGCTTGTTGATCTGATAGTTCTAGTGTCCTTGCTTCTTTGATGAGACTGTTTCTAATGTCAGGTCATCGCGTAGTGCTTTGCGACGCAGTCGAGTTGAGGTGCAGCCTTGAATGATTTGTGACTTAATTTCTTTGTCTGTTTCCGAAAATTCACAGTTTATACTTAAGTGTCTTAAACGTGTGTGAAAACTATCAATGTTTTTCATTAGATTCCTGTTTTGCCTGTCTAAAATTTATATATCTCAAATTCTGTGTTTTTCTTGGGGGCAAAGTACTCTGTTAGCTTTATCTTTGCTGATTCGTAGTCATCCCCTGTATTCTGCAGTACGTCGAAGATGTCATTTACCTCTTCCCCTGCATAGTGTAGAAATAAGGCTCTCTGTCGTTTTTTATCTTTAATGTCCATGCCAATCATTAAGTTTTCGAATCGACCTGTCCATTTCCTCCATCTTGTGTCAACACCAGGTTCACTTACACCAAATGCCGGAAAAACTGGCAATCCTTGTGCCATACTGTCACTGTATCAGTATTATTGATATAGCTAAGTTGTAACAAAGTCCAGGAAAAGTGTTTTAAACTTTAAATTCCAAAATGTGTAAATTTTAGGTGTTCACTTATTTAATTTAATCAAACAAATATCATGTTATCCAATTTTTCTTTTTAAATCCTCGTCGTCATTGTACTGTATTGAAAACTCAATATAAACATTCTATTCTAAGATTTATTTACAAGAGTATTCACAGAGATGTTGCTACATTGCATGTGTAATCTAAACTGTCTATCAAAGAGGGCTCAGAGAGAGAGTTCTCAGAGTGTGCATATTTAATCAAGTAGGCGGAGCTAATCTCTAAATACTAACAACAATACACACCCTCCTCCTTTAATCGGTGTACTAGTATTATGAAAGGGAAGCAAATCCGTTCTCACGGCATATTCACCATAAATTGAGTTGTTTCCTTAGATTAAAGAAAACCGTAATTTTATAAGAAGGAAAGAAAGAAAGAAATGAAAGAAAGAAAAGAAAAGAAAAGAAAAAAAAGAAAGAAGAAAGAAAGAAAGAACAACAACAAAAAACGATAATATGAGTGTGATGGTTTATTACTTAAATACTATGTTGCAATGTAAGCTTTTGTTAAACACGAGATCCAAATTAAGCAACAAAAAGCATGTGAATAAATCCAAAGCTCTTTAAGCCGTCCACAATCCATGAAAATAGACTCTAGATTCAAGGTCCAGTATGAAAACTAATGCTCCAGATGCCAACTATTCCTATTGAATTTTTTTGTGCTGTAAGTCATTAATTTTTGTTGTTGTTATTATTATTTTTTACCTTAGGAATGTTGGCCAAACTTAGCTTGTTTTGTATGTAATGATGCTGAGGTTTCCTCATTTATTATCAAATGTAAATTTTCGGTCTATTAAATGTAAATATGAAAAGTAAAGAAAACGAATATCATTTCCTTTTAGTATGTCCTTTTTACAGACAGCTTAGACTTAATATTTTATCTAATTATTATTGCCTTTGCCCAAGTTTGTTTAAATTCAAATCTCTTTTAATTTGTCAACAAAGTGATGTTTTGAAGAAAAAAAACTTGCAACATACGTTTACAAAGCTAACCTTTAGCGCGAAAAACTATAAAGTAAGTGAATATATGTTATTTATAAGCTATGGTTTCTTAATGCATAGTTATTGTCGATAGAATTTGATAGTATTATTTTATATATGACTTGATAATAATCTCTTCGTATTTGTACCGCTTTTGTTAAGTTTTGTATATACATTTGTATGTTATATTGGAGATGAATGTTTTAAGTTTTTGCTAAATAATATATATTACTGAATTGAATTGAATATAACAACATCTGTTGGAAGAGTTATTATTCCGGGGCGATTGATCTGTTTTAGAAAAGTTGATATTCAAACGCGCCAAATTAAGACATTTGGTGCTGGAATTCTGAGTGACACTTCAGGGGGGAAAGCGGAACAAGACAATACAATAAACCAGTTAAGAAAGGGCTATATTGTATTCTAACACTCACGTGATTTTGTCACTATTGACAAAGAAGGAAAAAAACTGGTGTTAAACTGCCAATAAACACCGGTTAGGGACTACTTGTATATGCGCTGTTATGTTTTCACCCTCGATTGTATTGTTTACAAAGCATTTTAAAGCAACAATAAAAAAAAAACATTTTTATTTATATTTTCAGTTCGTATAATGTTTTCTTTTCATACAATACCGAAATAATATCTCACATACACTAACACCACATATTAGATCCATATCAGTTAATAAATATTTTGACAAAACAGCGCCAATCCGTAAGCAGCGTAATGACGTCATCCTAAGTAAACAACTCATTCATAAACAAGCTGATGTTATTTCATACATACATGAATAATAAATGGCGCACTGATGTAAAAACAATACGACGTAAGTTTTTATTGTTGAAAACTTGATGAAATAACGTTTTTTTTCTTATTATTTCTTTTGTTTGATAATTTCTATATCTTTACAACAGTAGCGTGCGAAAATCGAACAGCGTTATACGAAAATCGGCACCGGAAGTTATATATATTTCCGCTTAAAAAATAACATTAGTGATTTTCCTTATTTTATCGTGTTAGAATCGAAATAACATCGGTCTGAGAGGTGTATATCGGCTATTTAACACCGGTTTTGTCGTTTTGATGCGACAAAATTAACCACTCAGGCCTACGGCCTTCGTGGTCAATTCCTACGCATCAAAACTCCAAACCGGTGTTAAATAGCCGATATACACCTCTCAGGCCGATGTTATTTCTTAAGTAACTACTTAAAGGGGGTATTTCACCCAAACAATTTACTAAACAGCTTTCAAGTTAGCTACACTATATATATGTCCATACATGAATAATACCTTTTCCTGTTTTACACAGCATGATATTAACAACGTTTCTGATATAACTTTGTATGAATGTCTTTTTTAATCTCTAGATATGTGTTTTTCTACAAATGGACAGACAAATATACAATGTATAAGCAAATAACAATAAAAACCCTTATAGTGGACAAAACTAATAATCAGTTCTTTAATATGAAATAAAAAAAAAAAAAAAAAAATAATAAAAAAAGGTCAAATAAAAGATTACTGTACATTAATATGATTATCCTTCAAGTCTCATCATTTGGAAACTAATTGTCTATGGACAGACGGACAGACATTCAAAAATGCAATACCATGTTAAGTCCTGAAGAATCATCAGGCATGTAAAAATCAGTATGCATGTATTCTCAAATTTCAAGACTGAAACATCAATCGCTGAAATTACATTTTTTTCTCCGGCCAATATATATTCCCCCATGTGTGCATTGACACAATACAACTGCATATACCATCATCTTACCACCTTACACCTCAAGAATGTATTGTATGTCATAAAATTACTTTATCGACTGTCACACAAATCATGTGCAAATGGGTTTTCTCTGGTATTTATTCTCATGTGTTGTTAAAATGTTCTCACTACCTTAATGTATCTTCTCACAACTTACATTTGAATGAAATTATCTAGTTCGTATTCCTTTATTGGTCTTTATGTATCAAAATGAAATGTTTCATAATTATATCACATAATGACATTACATTTTTTTCTCCATTATGTTTTGTCATTATTGCTTAATTTTGCTCATTGAACAGAAAGAACCATTGCAAAGACTCTCTTAAAATGTTTTATTCTGTTATATGAATTCTCATGTGTGATTTCAGATTACCTGTTTGTCTGAATGCTTTATCACATACATCACATTTATATGGTTTTTCTCCTGTATGTATTCTTATGTGTTCTGTCAAAGAACTTTTTTGACTGAAAGTACTATTACATTCATCACATTTAAACGGTTTTTCTCCAGTATGTACTCGTATGTGTCGTTTAAGTTTACTCTTTGAAATGAAAGAATTATTACATACATTACATAAAAATGGTTTTTCTCCAGTATGTATTCGCATGTGTTCTGCCAGATGACTTTTGTGACCGAATGTACTATAACATTCATCACATTTAAATGGTTTTTCTCCAGTGTGTATTCTTAGGTGTCTCCTAAGACTACTGCTGGTGCTAAATGCTAAGTCACATACATTACACTGAAATGGTTTTTCTCCAGTATGTATTCTAAGGTGTCGCATAAGGCTTCTCTTGTCGCTAAATGCCGAGTCACATACATTACACTGAAAAGGTTTTTCTCCAGTATGTATTCTCGCATGTGTATTAAGACTATCTTTTTGACTAAAAGTGCTACTACATTTATCACATTTATATGGTTTTTCTCCAGTATGTTTTCGTATGTGTAGCTTAAGTTTACTCTTTGAAATGAAAGTATTATAACATACATTACATAAAAATGGTTTTTCTCCAGTATGTATTCGCATGTGTTCTGTCAGATGACCTTTGTGACCAAAAGTGCTTTTACATTCATCACATTTAAATGGTTTTTCTCCGGTATGTATTTGCATGTGTCGCTTAAGATTACTCTTTCGAATGAAAGCACTATTACAAATATCACATGTATATGGTTTTTCTCCTGTATGTATTTTCATGTGTTCTGTCAGATACCGTTTTTGATTTGAAAGTGGGGTACCATAACATTCATTTACATTGAAATGGCCTTTCTCCAGTATGTATTCTCGCATGAGTATTAAGATTACCTGTTTTTGACTAAAAGTGCTATTACATTCATCCACACTTATATGGTTTTCTCCTGTGATTGTTTTCTCATGTGTTTCTTTTGATAACACTTTGGCTAAATGAACTATCACACACATCACATTTGTAAGGTTTTTTCTCCAGTATGTATTGCTCAAATGCTGATTTACGGACCACCTTTTTTTGTGAATGTACCATCACAAAAGTTACATTGAAATTGTTTTTCTCGGGTATGTTGTTGCCTCATGTGTCTCTTTAGGTCACTCATCCTGCTGAATTTGATATCACACAACTTGCACGTAAATAATTTTTCTCCAGTGTGCATTTTTCGATTGTTTTGAAATAGATCAAAATCTCATATAAAGTCCTGAAAAAAAGCAAAGCATTAAAAACTTAACAAGTGACATAGCCGGGCAGGGCAACTCATGACTTTTTCTTTTTTATAAAAAACCCAAAAAGGGGGAAATTTTAAACATGATTTTGGAAACAACAAAATCTTTTAAAAAGGTGGAAATATTAAAGAAACTTAGAAATGTGTTCCAAAGGACAACGGGTGCCCCTTACACTGCACCGACTTGTCAATCTATGTCTTCTTACGTCCAAATATTTTTTGGCTACAAGTGCCCAAGTTGAAAACTAAAAATCTTTTATTAAATAAAGGACAAATACTACAAATACTGAATAAATCCACAAGAAAACCCCAAGCTGCATATGTACACATGCTAACCAACATTCTTGTAAACTTTCAGGCCTACAGGTCAAATACTTTTTGTGTTACGTGCAACACAAGTTGAATATTGGAAATTTTTACTCAGTCAAGGGCAATAATTATAAAAAAATCTAAAAATATCAACACGAAAATACCCAGGTGCACAACTACACATGCAGATCAACATTCCTGTAAGGTTTCATGACTTTAGGTCAAATACTTTTTTAGTTACCTGCGACAAAAGTTGAAAATTGGAAATTTTTACTAATTCAAGGGCAATAACTCTAAAAAGACTTATATCCACACAAAAATACCAAGGTGCACAACTACACATGCTGATCTACATTCCTGTAAGGTTGACACTAGATAAAATATTTAAAGAGTTACGTGCGGCACAAGTTGAAAATGCAAATTTTTACTAAGTCAAGGGCAATAACTCTAAAAATAATAAATATATCCACATGAAAATACCCAGGTGCACAACTTCACATGCTGATCAGCATTCCTGTAAAGTTTCAGGATTCTAGGTCAATTAATTTTTGAGCTACGTGCGAAACAAAAAGAGAACGGGCGGACATCGGAATCTCAAAATGGTACTTGTGTGACTTTTCCTTTGATCTTTTTGGCCATTTTCAGTCACACAAGACTTTAAAAAAACACACAAGTAAAAACGGAATGAATAGTATCAAAGAGAATTTACTGTTACATATTGTTCTCCAAGTCACACAAGTACCTCTGGATTTGTACGGAAGGATTGATGGACGGACGGACAAGGGTAAAACTAAACCCCCCCTCCCCCTATAGTGGGAGCACAAAAAGTTGTTGTCCCCCTTTTTATAATAGGTTTGTCTAGTCAACCTTGTTATATTATCCAAGTATGAATTATTTCCCTAGATATTATAAAATGAAAAAGTTACCGCAAGATAACTGCATTTGTAAAGAAGATTACATTTATGAAAAATGCTATGCCACCGCATTTATACAAAACTAAATGTAGCTTAAGGTCTTCAGCGTACCCGTTTATATACTATGACATGACGTGCCGCATCAGATGAAAAAAAGTTAGAGTCACCCTACCAGTGCTCGACCAGTTTTTCACAAAATCACATAAAAACTTTTACAGAACAAAAAGTTTGCTGGGACACTTATTTCTGTTACAAAGCTGGCCCTTCCAAACTCACAAGAAGCTAAAGCGTTTTAACGACACAGATCAGGATACAATTTACTACGCAGTTGTATAAAGGGTATAAAACCACTATATTTTTCAGGCAACCAAACAAGTGCTCGACCAGGCGGTTTTATCTCTATCAGAACTTTTATATTTTTAAAACAGATATGACTTTTTATGTTCAACAATTCTATTTCAAAAATATTTCGAAACATTTATGTTTTAATGTCTATAGATGTAAATATGAGAGTAAATATGATACGAAGGAAATGCTATACATTGACAAATAAAGTGTTTACATACATGTATACTGGGGTGTTTGAGATTTTTTATTTTCATATTATTTTTACTAAAATCACTCTGCAAACATAGTTAAGTGTGAAATTTGGTGTAATATACAAATGGTCTACGCTTTTAGTGGTGTGTTCCCGATTTGTTTCCGTACAGCTGCCATATTTGTTCACTTGTTCATAGCCCCTACCTTTTATGGAAAGCTGGGTTTTGTTGATTTTTGGGCGCCTTTCCTATGGAAATCAATTGGAAGCATACGAGTAAAGGCAATTTAACAAAGTGTTGTCCTCATTTGCCCTAAATTATCATTATTTCAGTGTTTCAAATAGTTTTTACTGCTACTTTTATTTTAGAAATGTATTTTTGTATTGTCTGCAATATGGCCAATCTTCGGCCAATCTTCTACCAAAGTTGGGGTACTTGTACATGGTGTAGAGGTTACAAGTCAGGTACAAATAGCACACACAAACTTCCAGGGTTTTTCGACTTTAATGCATAAATCGTACACAAATAGAAGTATTGGTCGAGCACTGGGCTGGTCGAACTCTTAAAAGCGGCTAATAAAGTTGTGGAAGCCAGAACCACAGGCACGAGTATCGGACCTGGGAAGAAAAAATATGACCAGATTGATAAAAAAAAACCTGTGTTCACCTTAAAAGTGTCCAAAAAAACAAAAAAATGTAAATAATGGCCCCCTTTAAAAATATACTATAAGTTAAGAGAAGGCCGGAAACTCCAGATTCGAGCCTACGAGCAAGGGATTCATTTCCCGGGCCGTTGTGAAAACAATTGGCCAGGCAATTAAAAAAAACTTTTATCACTATTTCACGTTTATATTAAGCTTCAAAATGAGACCAACCCCAAGTCTCTAGCCCTTCCCGTTCATAAAATATCTATCAGGAAACGAGCGACTTCGTGCTAAAAATCCTTGGTAGACAGAATTGCGGCACAACAATTCGGTACGTAAACATAGACTAATACATGTATGTCAGCTGACTACGGGTCAAAATTACTTGAATTTACTAAATAATATTACTAAATACATTAAGTTGGACCACTCACAACCGTCAGTAGCATCTAATACACACGAGATTCGAGTTTCAAACATTTACACGGTCTTTCAATCGCTTTCTACGCCATTAGGCATCTTGTGTGAAACGTTGCGGTTTTCGTTGCTATTGGCCAATCAGAAGACTCGTTACAAAATATCGAACAGCTGATTGACAATGGCGTAGAAAGTAATCTAAAGACCGTGGAAAGGTTTGGAATTCGAAGGCCTTTTATTTGAACAAACTTGGTAGACACCCATAAGAAGATGTTTCATGCTAAACATCTAAGCTCTAGCTCATTGGGTTTTTCAAAAGAAGACTTTTTAAGTTTTTACTATACACATATAGATAAAAACAATGACACCCCTGGGGCGGGGCCAGTTTTGACCCAAGGGCTTTTATTTGAACAAACTTTGTAGACACTTATTAGAAGATTCTTCATGCTTAATATCTAACTCTAGCTATTTGGGTTTTTTCAAAGAAGATTTTTTAAGTTTTTGCTATACACATATAAGGAAATCAATGACCCCCGGGACGGGGCCAGTTTTGACCCCAGGGCTTTAATTTGAACAAACTTTGTAGATACTCACTAGAAGATGTTTCATGCTTAATATCTATACTCTAGCTATTTGAGATTTTTTCAAAGAGGTTTTTTTAAGTTTTTGCTCAATTCAATTCAATTCAATATTTTATTCGGCAAAAACATATAAATGTTCATCGCCAATATAACATATATACAATTGCGGTACAAATACAAAGAGAAAAGCATGAATTCATATTAATTAAATCAGTTGAATTCTTACAATAACAAAACAAAGAGATACTATATAAGATCTATAACATACATAAAATAAATCCACATTACACAGTCACATCATGCCTGATAGTTTTCGCGCCAGAGATTAGCATTGTAAACGTATTTTGCAAGTTTATTAATAGTATTACTTTGTTGGCAATTCAAAAGAGATTTGAATTTAAACAAATTTGGCCAATGACAATAATAACTAGGTAAAATATTAAGTCTAATCTGTCTGTAAAAAGGACATACTAAGAGGAAATGATACTCATTTTCTATACTATTCATATTACATTTCGTGCATATTCTTTGACTTCTATTAATGTTTCTATATCTCCCTTCTTCTATAGCTAAATTATGAGCAGAACACCGGAATCTAGACAAAGCAATTCTATAGCTATCATATTTAACACAACTTAAATATTTTTCTAATTCAAAACTGGATTTAAATAAACAGTAGGTATCAAGTTTAGGAGATTCTTTGAGCTCTGAAAACCATTGCTGTAGATATTGGTCATAAATAGTTCTTATTACTGTTTGAATTTGTAAGTTAGTGATTTCTGTATTATCCCATAAATAAGAGTATCCTAAATTATCTAATAATTGTTTAACACTTACAGACCAATTGTTAACTAATATTCCATGATCATCACGCATATTAAATACTTTAAAAAACTAAAGAATTCGGGGTTTTCATAATTCTGAACCAATATTTTATCATTCTGATTTTACGACATATAATCATCGGAACTCGTCCAAATTCACCGTAAATCGCAGAACTGGCAGTCTGTTGACGAACTTTTAAAACGTTTTTTAAAAATTTTAAATGAATTTTTTCTATATCGGGTGCCTTATGTAAACCCCAAATTTCACATCCATAATTCAGAATCGAAGTGATCATG